CTGTCTTAAGTTTTAGGTACAAGATACAATGTCATTCCAACTCATTTGGTCTCTGATGGCACAGAAATTGACCTATCACAGAACTCAGACTTCGCCCTCTCACCCTCTCCCTGTGCAGTTAGTTCTACACAAACACTCACTGTTCCCACAGAGAGACTCCAGGCTAGTAAACGGTTTGGAAAGATCAGGAGGTCCTCAGGGAACATCAAAGCCACTGTTCAGACCCTGCATCAGAACCTTCTGTTATAGCCTTTTCTAGTGAAACTCAAAGGCATTGACCTTGACCTCTCTCCCTTTCTTCAGTAGTAACTCTCCTGCCCTACTCAATGGCCATCCTGAAAAGAGATACCCACAGGTGTCTAGGTAAACTCTCAAAACCAGTAAGGACACCTCAATTTTTGCCAGAGAGGGGCCAACAGAAGTCCATTGACTTCACTTTTTCCCGGGGCACTTCTGTTCTATTTCATATGTAACTGCCAGTCCAAGTGTCTTGTCTTTCCCTTCAAGACTTCCTTCCAGATTGCACAAGAAATCTCTCCGACCTCCCACCACACAGCAACTCACACACACATCCGGATATTTTACACACATCCGGATATTTCACACACATACACACATACATCCCCTATGACTCTTCAATACAGGTACCAGATCTCTTCAAATTATGACATATTCCTCAATTTCCTGACCACTCCTCAATCACAGCTTAACATCCTTTTAGAAGAAACGGCCCCAAATTCTAAAACCTTCTCCTCACTTCCTCTATCATTTCCAGAATCAAAAAGAACTTCTACTTGCTACCTCACCCTCAATATTAAACAATTCTTCACACCTCACGTAAACACACATATTTAGGTGCAATCAAGCCTTTGGGTCCAGAGAAATACATACATGAACACACACAGAGACACACACACACACACACACCACCCCTGTAGTCATAAATGAAAACACAGTTCACAAACATACCTCATTGCCTCCCTTAGCTGCTCTTGCTCAGCTGGAAGAAAGGCTTAGAAATAAAAGCAGAAGAGTGCACCCACAGATAGTAAGCCAAGCTGGGCACTGTTTACCAGCCTATCAAGAAAATGTTAGTGGATTTTAAATGCAAATCACTGCCCTGAAGTCCTTCCCCCATCAGAATTGTTAGTTAATTAGTAATCAAGGTCTTCCTCTGAGGAGAACATCCCTAAGATTTCAGAGAGGAAGCCACTTCCAGGACCCTTTCTATCCCCTCCAGTCCCTGAGGGTTTATTCAATGGTGAGGACTTTCAACTTGTCTGTCTAGAGAGCACCAGAATTTGAAAGCAATAAGGAGCAAAAATTAAATGACATGGTATCCCAGAAGAACTCTGGTTTTTTCCCAGAGACTCCTAATTTCTCAGGAACCCAGTGACATTAGAACAATCTGCTGACCTATGACCAAGGAAACTGTTCTGAAAAAGTTTTCAAAAGTTTTCTTTTCTGGCCTCTACCAAAGGTGTGTCTGTAAGATTATATATGTGCTTCCTTAATATAGTGACCAAAAATATAGCAACAGTATGATAGCTATTGCGATTGCAAAATAGTGATAAGCTTAAGCAATTTTTCAATATTATCTTTAATATGCAATATGAAAGTAATATGACTTCTCTTGGAACCAAAGTGCACTGCTAACACAATGGTGCTTTTCAGGCTAACTTTGTAATGAAAAGAAATGCTCAGTTGCAGTTAGAGGTTACCAAAGAAAAAATGTGTCAATATTTCCCCCTTCCCAGTTCACTGGGCTCTGTGAATTATATCCAGGAACTCCAGGCTAAGAAGTCTGCTTTATTACCGAGTGGACCTTCTTCAACATAGGGCAGAGTCTTCCCCGTAGACTGCCCCCAAGGGTGATTCATGTACATGTTGCCAGAGCCCAAAGAAATATAAATAGAAATTGAAGGTAAGTGTTGAGAAGCTTTTATAACAATATGACAGAATACTCTGATATACACTGACCCTAATTATTTTTAAATGGAGCTTGTATTTGTATATCCTTGATTTTTTACTTTATTTTCCTAGTAATTTATTTTAAGTCTTACAAGATTCTTAGTCTGTGACATATTGGAAATTTTTCAAAAATGCTCTCTTTTACTGCACATAATTTTAAAAGCCCTGTTCAACTGTTACTATTTCTGAACATTAGCCTTTATGTATCAGTGAAAATTCAGGAAATATTTGGATCTATCAATTTGTTAACTGTGTGTATCACCGAGAAAAATTATATGAAAGTCACTATGTCATCATGGTTGTGTCATAGGACATAGACTTGGACAATCAAAATGGAATTAATTTATATTTTTGAAAAGTCCACTTCTGTGTCCTTATTGTTCTCATTTCACCAATCACTAGTGAAAATGTTGTCAGGAATCAACAGTCTTTAATTTGTTTATTCCTGAGTCAGGAATCAGCACAGCCTTTTGAGAGCACTGAGTGCCTTTGGCATCATGGAATCCAAGAATTTAGTGCTAAAAGAGTTAGGAAAAGAAAACTAACTTGCATGGAGGCCTTCAGAGTGCCAAGATCTCTGCCTATTTTGCCTTGCTGGTATCATCATGGCCCTACGGCATAAGTGTCTAAAATGTCACCAAATGCACATCCATCCAGTTCCAGAGCCCATGTGGGCTGGACCATTAGGAACTTTTGAGGTCATCAAGTGCAGCCAGCTCCCTCATTTCACAGTTGAGGAAATTGAGATCCAGGAATGTTGTAAGGTTTGCATGGGTGTTGACTAGAAGGTCCAGATTTGAACTGAAAGCCCAGGTCTGCTTACTAGCAGGGGAACTTGAACAAGTAAAGTTCTTTTTCCTTAACTTGAATGAAGGTAAAAGTGGTACCTAGCCAATAAACTTATGAAATAAACAAAGCAAAGCAAGCAAAAAAACTTGGTATTACATAAATACCCCCAAAGTATCAGTTACAATTAAAATTATGATGCTCTGCCACAGCCCTATGTCTGGAGCCCAGACCCTGGACTCCAGTTCTCAGGCTCCTTCAACTCTGCCAGTCTCTGGCAGTCTCTCTCCTAAATCAGGATTCCAAACATATCCTGTTGCCATAATTTACATAAAAGAACAATTATCAAGTACCTACTTTGAAAAGGCCCTGACTGCATGCTGACATCTATGATGTTGCCTGATTTTCACAGTTTAAAGGTTAAGTGCCAAGTCCTTGCATTAAAAAAGACGATTCAAGCCAGACCAAGGCACAAATACTGTGGTGCCTAGAGTGGCCGGCTACTGTGATATAACAAACGCCTCAGGAGAAGAATACACACGTTGGGAGCAACAACGAAGAAACCAAGGCACAACCATTTGGGAGTGGAAAAGGAAGCAGAAAGGGATATTTTGGGTCAAGGAAAGAGCATCTGTAATGCACAGAGGAAGGGACAGGACTAGTTTTGGAAAATGTTGTAAAAAGATACAGATAGGGAGACAGGTGGGTGACAATTAAGGACAACACTGAAAAGTAAACTGGAGCCACAATCTGGAGGTCCTAGTGCCTTGGCAAGAAGACTTCTGTGAACTACAGGAACCATCACAAGTAAGAATGTGCCCACATCTTTCATAAGCATGAGCTGGATTTCGGAACTCTCCAAGACTTAAAACCCTGGATTATGTGCCTCTTTGGGTGATTAGTCCAAAAAATATTACTTTTCCCTACACCTCTAAGAATTCCAAGTATAAATCCACAGTGGAACCTGGAAGCTGCACCAAGTACATGCCCATGGAGTAATGTCATGTAATTATGAAGAAGATATGAAAGAATGCATGTGAAACATTTAACATAATACATAGGCCTTAGTAAACACTCCATCAGTGTTACTGGTATTCTGATATTTCTCTTTTCAGAACTATTGAAGTAATAGTACCCTCAAGAATACATTGCTCTGTTCTATAGGTATGCATTCTGCATACAAATGCTTAGTAGAGCTTAACCCCCCACTAGCTTCCTGCTCCCTGAGTTTTCTCAATGTCTCCTTCAAAACCAAACCCACAGGAGGAGTCTGACTCCTGAGCCCAGAGGGACAGAGGCCTAGTGTGTATTCCCTCCTTGCAGTTAAGATGAGTTCATGGATTATCCCTTCCTAGAATAAACTCCTTTTAGAAAATAATATTCTCATCTGTTTGGATTATATCAACAATGGACTGTGGGTGGGTTTTCCTGAAAGTATCCCTGCAATCTAAAACTGTTGAATATAATTCTCGAAAAGAGACAAATAATTTCTTAGAGAGCATTTCCATGTTAAATCTTTAGATGGATCTTTCAGGGTTCCCTGTCTGGATATAGTGCCAGAGAGAACATGGAGTTTGAAATCAAACTAGCCTGGGCTTGAATATCAGATTCTCTAGTCACTTAATTAATAACTTAGGCAGCTAAATTTTCTTTGTCTATAAATTAAGGATGATAATATGTACTTAATAATGTTATTTTGAACCTAAGAGAAGATAATGAGTACCCAATATCTAATGTTGGCCTCCCAGAACCACTCCAACTTAAATCTTTTCTGAAAATCAAATAATATACACCAGCAGTAACATTAGCTAAATTCTGTTAATAACTGTTCCTACAGTTCACCAAGCTCTAAAATTGCCTCACTGGATTGGGCTGAAAGGAGGTGGTCTCTTCTCTCAGAGACCCTTGAGATAGACAAGTGGAGACAGTAAATTCTACACCGAACTGATTCTATGAGCCAATGGTGGAAAATCAGACCTGA